AAAATTTTTGTATTTAGTATAAATCCGAGAGTTTGGGAAAACCCAAATTTTTTGGTTTTGTTCATAAAGAATTCATTTGGATTGTGCCCCTTAAAATAAGAAAGATAAGAAAAGATTTCTTTGGTTTTTTTAACCCCCGGGGGGTTACCCACCAGGATAACCCAAGAAAGTCAGTGCGCACGAGGACTTTTCAACTTATTTCCAGGGCCCTTTAATCTTGCCCCCCCAGGATGCGACCCACCCCAGTCGACTAAACCCAGGTACCAAATTTTTTTCTGCAGGTGAACAGGACAACAGGGGGAAGGAAACGTGCCGAAATGTTTCCACCCGCCGGGAATCGAACCCGGGCCCTCCGTGTGTGAAGCGGGAGCTTTAGCCACCAGGCCACCGGGCCTTAGAGTGGGTAGTGGCTCGCTGAGCACTGAGTCATATTGGTGCTACAGTATCTCACTCATTTATTAGCTGTCATGTGTGTCCCATCCCACCTGACCAGCGGCCCAATACTGGATATTGTTTTTACCGTAGATTTGGCATAAGAGAAGAAGTATTTTTATTTAATTTCCTTTATGGCTTTTAGTTCGGGCTGTGATTATTGTCTCCTATAATATTCCTTCAGCTTAAGTTCGATATTTGTAATTTCATTGACTTGTGCTTCCCTTCGTATTTCAGATATATTGACCCCACTTAGCAGCTCTGTGACTCTTCACCTTCGTCTGTATAAGGAACGTCTCTCTCTTTCTAGTTTACATCTTCTCTTTCTTTTTCTTAATGGAATGTGTCTTGAGCAGATCTCAAGAACCACAGAGTTCATTTTATCAAGGCAGATGTTCGGATCCATGTTGTTTAGGATATCTTCCCAGCTTGTTTCATTTAGGACATAGTTTACTTGATCACATTATATGTTTTTGTTGCTGAAATTGAATTTCGTGAAGAGACCTTCATGACTGCTCACATTTTGCTGGTCCGGAGCCCTGTGTATACATGTGTGTACCTCTGTTATGTGGGGGTAGGACCAAACACATATGGGAGGGGGAACACTGAAGGACAGAACAACATAGGCTGGAGAAAGAAAAACAAAGGAAGAGAAAGAAAGGAAAAGAGAAAAGAAGAAAGGATGAGGTTAAGTCATGAGTGTTGTGAAGCTTGGAATATGTGACAATGTTAATAAGCAAGGAAGTCATCTACAGAAACAGGACGAAGATGCTTCAGGAAGGTGACTGTCAGGCTAGAAGGTAGACACTTTGAGCACAGGACCAGTCAGTAGGATGACTGTGATCTCTAGCATGACAAAAAATGCCATTTCCGGCGTCGGCAAGCCTAACGCTATGTTTGTGCTCCTTAAGTCTGTCAGAAAGAGAGCGGCCAGTTTCTCCAAAGTATTGGAGAGGACAAGAGGAGCGTGAAATAGATGAGACACCAGGAGCATCTAGAACAGGAGGAGAGGTATGAACTAGATTACTGGAAGGAATGTATGAGAGTATAGTTGTACCAACACTCTTATATGGGTGTGAATCATGGGTTGTGAATGTTGCAGCAAGAAGGCTGGAGGCAGTGGAGATGTTGTGTCTGAGGGTCATGTGCAGTGTCACTATAATGTAGAGAATACATAGCTTGGAAATTAGGAGGTGTGGAGTTACTAAAAGTATGATCCAGAGTGCTGAGGAAGGGTTGTTGAGGTGGTTCGGACATTTAGAGAGGATGGTACAAAATAGAATGACTTGGAGAACTTATAAATATGTAGTAGAAGGTAGGAGGGGTGGGGGTTGGCCTAGGAAAGGTTGGAGGAAGGAGGTAAAGCAGGTTTTGTGTGGGAGGGACTTGGACTTCCAGCAAGCATGTGTGAGTGTGTTAGATAGGAGTCGAGATTTTTACGACTTGACGTACTGTTGGAGTGAGAGCAAAGTAACATGATGCGATTCAGGGAAAACAGGTTAACCAGACTTGAGTCCTGGAGGTGGGAAGTACAATACTTGCACTCTGAAGGAGGCGTGGAGATGTTGCAGTTTTTTAACTCTAGTGTAGACGCGTCTCTGGCAAGACATTGATGGAGTCAATGATGACAGAAGTATTTAATATTGACTAACACCCAGGTACCTACTTACTGCTAGGTGAACAGTGGTACCAGGTGTAAGGTGACTAACACCCAGGTACCTACTTACTGCTAGGTGAACAGTAGTACCAGGTGTAAGGTGACTAACACCCAGGTACCTACTTACTGCTAGGTGAACAGTAGTACCAGGTGTAAGGTGACTAACACCCAGGTACCTACTTACTGCTAGGTGAACAGTGACAGCAGGTGTAAAGTAACTAACACCCAGGTACCTACTTACTGCTAGGTGAACAGTGACAGCAGGTGTAAAGTGACTAACACCCAGGTACCTACTTACTGCTAGGTGAACAGTGACAGCAGGTGTAAAGTAACTAACACCCAGGTACCTACTTACTGCTAGGTGAAGAGTGACAGCAGGTGTAAAGTGACTAACACCCAGGTACCTACTTACTGCTAGGTGAACAGTGGTACCAGGTGTAAGGTGACTAACACCCAGATACCTACTTACTGCTAGGTGAACAGTAGTACCAGGTGTAAGGTGACTAACACCCAGGTACCTACTTACTGCTAGGTGAACAGTAGTACCAGGTGTAAGGTTACTAACACCCAGGTACCTACTTACTGCTAGGTGAACAGTGACAGCAGGTGTAAAGTAACTAACACCCAGGTACCTACTTACTGCTAGGTGAACAGTGACAGCAGGTGTAAAGTAACTAACACCCAGGTACCTACTTACTGCTAGGTGAACAGTGACAGCAGGTGTAAAGTGACTAACACCCAGGTACCTACTTACTGTTAGGTGAACAGTGACAGCAGGTGTAAAGTAACTAACACCCAGGTACCTACTTACTGCTAGGTGAACATGACAGCAGGTGTAAAGTGACTAACACCCAGGTACCTACTTACTGTTAGGTGAAGAGTGACAGCAGGTGTAAAGTGACTAACACCCAGGTACCTACTTACTGCTAGGTGAAGAGTGACAGCAGGTGTCAAGTAACTAACACCCAGGTACCTACTTACTGCTAGGTGAACAGTGACAGCAGGTGTCAAGTAACTAACACCCAGGTACCTACTTACTGCTAGGTGAACAGTGACAGCAGGTGTCAAGTAACTAACACCCAGGTACCTACTTACTGTTAGGTGAACAGTGACAGCAGGTGTCAAGTCACTTGCCCATACATCTCGCCCTCCCCCAGGGTTCAACCCTGGAACTTCCATTGGGTTTAAGACCAATCAGTGATCTCAAGACCGCTAATGACCAATCAAATAAGACCTCAATTCTTCCTGCCATCTTCCCGCTCTCCACCAATCAGGTGTCTCTCTGACTCAGATCCTCCACCAATCACGTGTCTTCCGCTGACGTCACGGAGTGTTGCCGCTTGGTTAACAATAATTTACAAGCGCCCCAGAGCTTCACTGATCTCTATTATTTCATTGTTTTTTGTTATAAATTATGTTAATTGTGTATGCAAATTAGTCCTGAATGTTGTCTGGTTTGGCTTAAAGGCAGAAAACGTATGTTTCTTGACGGATGTGTTTGATTACACAAGATTAATAGAACTAAATATTGTGGGTTAGCTAGCAGTGTGTGGCAACCATGGCGACTTTCTCCCGCCAAAATTGTCAGCTGATTAAGGCAGATTTTCCCGGGAATTATTGCCACACACCGCCACTGCTTGCTCTCGCTAATTACCAGCCAGCCCAGTGAATGACTTACTAATTACCCTAATTACTTTGAATAACAAATGTCTAATGCAACACAGTGATCTTGCAAGATCGTAATGCAACAGTGATCTTGCAAGATCGTAATGCAACAGTGATCTTGCAAGATAGTAATGCAACAGTGATCTTGCAAGATCGTAATGCAACAGTGATCTTGCAAGATCGTAATGCAACAGTGATCTTGCAAGATCGTAATGCAACAGTGATCTTGCAAGATCGTAATGCAACAGTGATCTTGCAAGATCGTAACTCAACAGTGATCTTGCAAGATAGTAATGCAACAGTGATCTTGCAAGATCGTAATGCAACAGTGATCTTGCAAGATCGTAATGCAACAGTGATCTTGCAAGATAGTAATGCAACAGTGATCTTGCAAGATCGTAATGCAACAGTGATCTTGCAAGATTGTAATGCAACAGTGATCTTGCAAGATCGTAATGCAACAGTGATCTTGCAAGATCGTAATGCAACAGTGATCTTGCAAGATCGTAATGCAACAGTGATCTTGCAAGATCGTAATGCAACAGTGATCTTGCAAGATAGTAATGCAACAGTGATCTTGCAAGATCGTAATGCAACAGTGATCTTGCAAGATCGTAATGCAACAGTGATCTTGCAAGATAGTAATGCAACAGTGATCTTGCAAGATCGTAATGCAACAGTGATCTTGCAAGATCGTAATGCAACAGTGATCTTGCAAGATCGTAATGCAACAGTGATCTTGCAAGATCGTAATGCAACAGTGATCTTGCAAGATCGTAATGCAACAGTGATCTTGCAAGATCGTAATGCAACAGTGATCTTGCAAGATAGTAATGCAACAGTGATCTTGCAAGATAGTAATGCAACAGTGATCTTGCAAGATCGTGTTGCAAAAGAGGATCATAATGCGAATACTATTCACTTGTAGAGTGGATGGAATTGAAAGCAACTAACAGCGAGCTGGATCACAGTTCTAGTGACGTACACTGTAACACTGGATCACAGTTCTAGGTGACGTACACTGTAACACTGGATCACAGTTCTAGGTGACGTACACTGTAACACTGGATCACAGTTCTAGGTGACGTACACTGTAACACTGAACATTTTGACAGGAGACACTCTTGTCATCTACTGGTCAACCAGGTTGTTGTTGCTGGCAGTCTAGAAGCCTGTGCATCCATCACAACCTGGTTGATCAGGTGTACTCTCTTACTGGCTTATATAATGCAATTTATCATTACAGGGTTGAGATGGACAGAGCTGAACATCCAAGTTGACATCTTCCACTCAGCATCCTCCTCTCCTGATCATTGATAACAGTGGCTCAACCCCCCAGTCTGTGGTGTGGGTTAGTACAGAGAACAGTGGCTCAACCCCCCAGTCTGTGGTGTGGGTTAGTACAGAGAACAGTGGTTCAACCCCCAGTCTGTAGTGTGGGTTAGTACAGAGAACTGTGGTTCATCCCCCAGTCTGTGGTGTGGGTTAGTACAGAGAACAGTGGCTCAACCCCCCCGTCTGTGGTGTGGGTTAGTACAGAGAATAGTGGTTCAACCCCCAGTCTGTGGTGTGGGTTAGTACAGAGAACAGTGGTTCAACCCCCAGTCTGTGGTGTGGGTTAGTACAGAGAACAGTGGTTCAACCCTCAGTCTGTGGTGTGGGTTAGTACAGAGAACAGTGGTTCAACCCCCAGTCTGTGGTGTGGGTTAGTACAGAGAACAGTGGTTCAACCCCCAGTCTGTGGTGTGGGTTAGTACAGAGAACAGTGGTTCAACCCCCAGTCTGTGGTGTGGGTTAGTACAGAGAACAGTGGTTCAACCCCCAGTCTGTGGTGTGGGTTAGTACAGAGAACAGTGGTTCAACCCCCAGTCTGTGGTGTGGGTTAGTACAGAGAACAGTGGTTCAACCCCCAGTCTGTGGTGTGGGTTAGTACAGAGAACAGTGGTTCAACCCCAGTCTGTGGTGTGGGTTAGTACAGAGAACAGTGGTTCAACCCCCAGTCTGTGGTGTGGGTTAGTACAGAGAACAGTGGTTCAACCCCCAGTCTGTGGTGTGGGTTAGTACAGAGAACAGTGGTTCAACCCCCAGTCTGTGGTGTGGGTTAGTACAGAGAACAGTGGTTCAACCCCCAGTCTGTGGTGTGGGTTAGTACAGAGAACAGTGGTTCAACCCCCAGTCTGTGGTGTGGGTTAGTACAGAGAACAGTGGTTCAACCCCCAGTCTGTAGTGTGGGTTAGTACAGAGAACTGTGGTTCATCCCCCAGTCTGTGGTGTGGGTTAGTACAGAGAACAGTGGCTCAACCCCCCCGTCTGTGGTGTGGGTTAGTACAGAGAATAGTGGTTCAACCCCCAGTCTGTGGTGTGGGTTAGTACAGAGAACAGTGGTTCAACCCCCAGTCTGTGGTGTGGGTTAGTACAGAGAACAGTGGTTCAACCCTCAGTCTGTGGTGTGGTTAGTACAGAGAACAGTGGTTCAACCCCCAGTCTGTGGTGTGGGTTAGTACAGAGAACAGTGGTTCAACCCCCAGTCTGTGGTGTGGGTTAGTACAGAGAACAGTGGTTCAACCCCCAGTCTGTGGTGTGGGTTAGTACAGAGAACAGTGGTTCAACTCCCAGTCTGTGGTGTGGGTTAGTACAGAGAACAGTGGTTCAAACCCCCAGTCTGTGGTGTGGGTTAGTACAGAGAACAGTGGTTCAACCCCCAGTCTGTGGTGTGGGTTAGTACAGAGAACAGTGGTTCAACCCCCAGTCTGTGGTGTGGGTTAGTACAGAGAACAGTGGTTCAACCCCCAGTCTGTGGTGTGGGTTAGTACAGAGAACAGTGGTTCAACCCCCAGTCTGTGGTGTGGGTTAGTACAGAGAACAGTGGTTCAACCCCCAGTCTGTGGTGTGGGTTAGTACAGAGAACAGTGGTTCAACCCCAGTCGTGGTGTGGGTTAGTACAGAGAACAGTGGTTCAAACCCCCAGTCTGTGGTGTGGGTTAGTACAGAGAACAGTGGTTCAACCCCCAGTCTGTGGTGTGGGTTAGTACAGAGAACAGTGGTTCAACCCCCAGTCTGTGGTGTGGGTTAGTACAGAGAACAGTGGCTCTACCCCCAGTGTTCCTAAGCTTCACTCTGGCTGCTGCTCTACCCCCAGTGTTCCTAAGCTTCACTCTGGCTGCTGCTCTACCCCCAGTGTTCCTAAGCTTCACTCTGGCTGCTGCTCTACCCCCAGTGTTCCTAAGCTTCACTCTGGCTGCTGCTCTACCCCCAGTGTTCCTAAGCTTCACTCTGGCTGCTGCGGCTAAGTTACGACTTTCCCAAATGAATAATAAACTTTCTTGAAATCCATTGAATGACATGTAGGATATTCATGAACGATGTAGTATGGAGAGGAAAGGATAGAGGAAGAGGAGGACTGGTTGAAGATGAGTGGATACTAACACTGTAAGATGATAATATAAGTCACGACTGATCTCAAATAACACAGTAAGAAATTACTTTTCTGAAGATGTTAAATTACCGAACATTGAAGACTTGTAGCCAGACATTGCTCACTACTACTACTACTACTACTACTACTACTACTACAGTAGTTTGTTGAGTGAAAGAACTAAAACTTCCAAAATTACATAGTGTCGATTGAGTTGAAAATGCTTGCCATAGTAACAGTGTTCACGAGGGATTGAAGGATAGAGAATAAGACTGATGATTATCATGGGATTACAATAATCCCTGGAGAATTAATTGCAGTCTAGTGGTCAGTGCTGTGGTGCTATGTCGTTAAAGAAGGTGTAAACAACGAACGTACGGACGGAGGAAGAACAGAAAGGAAGATAAAGTGAGAGAAGGAAGGTGTAATCCAAGATGGCGGGTGGTGTGTTTACATGTGAGGTGGTGTATCATGGCCGTCATGCAGTCATGGGAGCACAGTCATGTGCTACCCTTACTGCCCTTGTTGACAACTTACTCTGCCCACCCATGCCCATACACCACGCCCACACCACCCATAACTATCCTAAGGTAAGAATATGTTGAGTGTTTTAATTACAACTGGGTTCTTAGTCTACTCACCTATTTTTGGCCCTGCCTCTCTGCTAATTGCTACTAGATCCACTCTCTCCCTGCTCCATGAACTTTATCATACTTATTCTTAAAGCTATGCATGGATTCTGCCACCACTGCATCACCCTCCAGATTGTTCCACTTCCTGATATTTCTATGACTGAAGAAATACTTCCTAACATCCCTGTGACTCATCTGAGTTTTCAACTTCCAGTTGTGACCCCTTGTTGTTGTGTCCCCTTGTTGTTGTGTCCCCTTGTTGCTGTGTCCCCTTGTTGTTGTGTCCCCTTGTTGTTGTGTCCCCTTGTTGTTGTGTCCCCTTGTTGTTGTGTCCCCTTGTTGTTGTGTCCCCTTGTTGTTGTGTCCCCTTGTTGTTGTGTCCCCTTGTTGTTGTGTCCCCTTGTTGTTGTGTCCCCTTGTTGTTGTGTCCCCTTGTTGTTGTGTCCCCTTGTTGTTGTGTCCCCTTGTTGTTGTGTCCCCTTGTTGTTGTGTCCCCTTGTTGTTGTGTCCCCTTGTTGTTGTGTCCCCTTGTTGTTGTGTCCCCTTGTTGTTGTGTCCCCTTGTTGTTGTGTCCCCTTGTTGTTGTGTCCCCTTGTTGTTGTGTCCCCTTGTTGTTGTGTCCCCTTGTTGTTGTGTCCCCTTGTTGTTGTGTCCCCTTGTTGTTGTGTCCCCTTGTTGTTGTGTCCCCTTGTTGTTGTGTCCCCTTGTTGTTGTGACCCCTTGTTGTTGTGTCCCCTTGTTGCTGTGTCCCCTTGTTGTTGTGTCCCCTCGTTGTTGTGTCCCCTTGTTGCTGTGTCCCTTGTTGTTGTGTCCCCTTGTTGTTGTGTCCCCTTGTTGTTGTGACCCCTTGTTGTTGTGTCCTCTTGTTGCTGTGTCCCCTTGTTGCTGTGTCCCCTTGTTGTTGTGTCCCCTTGTTGTTGTGTCCCCTTGTTGTTGTGTCCCCTTGTTGTTGTGTCCCCTTGTTGTTGTGTCCCCTTGTTGCTGTGTCCCCTTGTTGTTGTGACCCCTTGTTGTTGTGTCCCCTTGTTGCTGTGTCCCCTTGTTGTTGTGTCCCCTCGTTGTTGTGTCCCCTTGTTGTTGTGTCCCCTTGTTGTTGTGTCCCCTTGTTGTTGTGTCCCCTTGTTGTTGTGACCCCTTGTTGTTGTGTCCCCTTGTTGCTGTGTCCCCTTGTTGCTGTGTCCCCTTGTTGTTGTGTCCCCTTGTTGTTGTGTCCCCTTGTTGTTGTGTCCCCTTGTTGCTGTGTCCCCTTGTTGTTTGTGTTCCCTTGTTGTTGTGTCCCCTTGTTGTTGTGTCCCCTTGTTGTTGTGTCCCCTTGTTGTTGTGTCCCCTTGTTGTTGTGTCCCCTTGTTGTTGTGACCCCTTGTTGTTGTGTCCCCTTGTTGCTGTGTCCCCTTGTTGTTGTGTCCCCTTGTTGTTGTGTCCCCTTGTTGTTGTGTCCCCTTGTTGCTGTGTCCCCTTGTTGTTGTGTCCCCTTGTTGTTGTGTCCCTTGTTGCTGTGTCCCCTTGTTGTTGTGTCCCCTTGTTGTTGTGTCCCCTTGTTGTTGTGTCCCCTTGTTGTTGTGTCCCCTTGTTGCTGTGTCCCCTTATTGTTGTGTCCCCTTGTTGTTGTGTCCCCTTGTTGTTGTGTCCCTTGTTGTTGTGTCCCCTTGTTGTTGTGTCCCCTTGTTGTTGTGTCCCCTTGTTGTTGTGTCCCCTTGTTGTTGTGTCCCCTTGTTGTTGTGACCCTTGTTGTTATGTCCCCTTGTTGTTGTGTCCCCTTGTTGTTGTGTCCCCTTGTTGTTGTGTCCCCTTGTTGTGTCCCCTTGTTGTTGTGTCCCCTTGTTGCTGTGTCCCCTTGTTGTTGTGACCCCTTGTTGTTGTGTCCCTTGTTGTTGTGTCCCTTGTTGTTGTGTCCCCTTGTTGCTGTGTCCCATTGTTGTTGTGACCCCTTGTTGTTGTGTCCCCTTGTTGTTGTGTCCCCTTGTTGTTGTGTCCCCTTGTTGCTGTGTCCCCTTGTTGTTGTGACCCCTTGTTGTTGTGTCCCCTTGTTGTTGTGTCCCCTTGTTGTTGTCTCCCCTTGTTGTTGTGTCCCCTTGTTGCTGTGTCCCCTTGTTGTTGTGTCCCCTTGTTGTTGTGTCCCCTTGTTGTTGTGTCCCCTTGTTGTTGTGTCCCCTTGTTGTTGTGTCCCCTTGTTGCTGTGTCCCCTTGTTGTTGCGTCCCCTTGTTGTTGTGTCCCCTTGTTGTTGTGTCCCCTTGTTGTTGTGTCCCCTTGTTGCTGTGTCCCCTTGTTGTTGTGTCCCCTTGTTGTTGTGTCCCCTTGTTGCTGTGTCCCCTTGTTGCTGTGTCCCCTTGTTGTTGTGTCCCCTTGTTGTTGTGTCCCCTTGTTGTTGTGTCCCCTTGTTGTTGTGTCCCCTTGTTGCTTTGTCCCCTTGTTGTTGTGTCCCCTTGTTGCTGTGTCCCCTTGTTGTTGTGACCCCTTGTTGTTGTGTCCCCTTGTTGTTGTGACCCCTTGTTGTTGTGTCCCCTTGTTGCTGTGTCCCCTTGTTGTTGTGACCCCTTGTTGCTGTGTCCCCTTGTTGTTGTGTCCCCTTGTTGTTGTGTCCCCTTGTTGCTGTGTCCCCTTGTTGTTGTGACCCCTTGTTGTTGTGTCCCCTTGTTGTTGTGTCCCCTTGTTGTTGTGTCCCCTTGTTGCTGTGTCCCCTTGTTGTTGTGTCCCCTTGTTGTTGTGTCCCGTTGTTGTTGTGTCCCCTTGTTGCTGTGTCCACTTGTTATTGTGTCCCCTTGTTGTTGTGTCCCCTTGTTGCTGTGTCCCCTTGTTGTTGTGTCCCCTTGTTGCTGTGTCCCATTGTTGTTGTGTCCCTTGTTGCTCTGTCCCCTTGTTGCCGTGTCCATTTGTTGCTGTGTCCCCTTGTTGCCGTGTCCCCTCGTTGCCTTGTCCCCTTGTTGTTGTGTCCCTTGTTGCTGTGTCCCCTTGTTGCCGTGTCCCTTGTTGCCGTGTCCCCTTGTTGTCGTGTCCCCTTGTTGCCGTGTCCCCTTGTTGCCGTGTCCCCTTGTTGCCGTGTCCCCTTGTTGCCGTGTCCCCTTGTTGCTGTGTCCCCTTGTTGCCGTGTCCCCTTGTTGCCGTGTCCCCTTGTTGCCGTGTCCCCTTGTTGCTGTGTCCACTTGTTGCCGTGTCCCCTTGTTGCCGTGTCCCCTTGTTGCCGTGTCCCCTTGTTGCTGTGTCCCCTTGTTGCCGTGTCCCCTTGTTGCCGTGTCCCCTTGTTGCCGTGTCCCCTTGTTGCCGTGTCCCCTTGTTGCCGTGTCCCCTTGTTGCCGTGTCCCCTTGTTGCCGTGTCCCCTTGTTGCCGTGTCCCCTTGTTGCCGTGTCCCCTTGTTGCCGTGTCCCCTTGTTGCCGTGTCCCCTTGTTGCCGTGTCCCCTTGTTGCCGTGTCCCCTTGTTGCCGTGTCCCCTTGTTGCCGTGTCCCCTTGTTGCCGTGTCCCCTTGTTGCCGTGTCCCCTTGTTGCCGTGTCCCCTTGTTGCCGTGTCCCCTTGTTGCCGTGTCCCCTTGTTGTTGTGTCCCCTTGTTGTTGTGTCCCCTTGTTGTTGTGTCCCCTTGTTGCTGTGTCCCCTTGTTGTTGTGACCCCTTGTTGCTGTGTCCCCTTGTTGTTGTGTCCCCTTGTTGTTGTGTCCCCTTGTTGCTGTGTCCCCTTGTTGTTGTGACCACTTGTTGTTGTGTCCCCTTGTTGTTGTGTCCCCTTGTTGTTGTGTCCCCTTGTTGTTGTGTCCCCTTGTTGTTGTGTCCCCTTGTTGTTGTGTCCCCTTGTTGTTGCGTCCCCTTGTTGTTGTGTCCCCTTGTTGTTGTGTCCCCTTGTTGTTGTGTCCCCTTGTTGTTGTGTCCCCTTGTTGTTGTGTCCCCTTGTTGTTATGTCCCCTTGTTGTTGTGTCCCCTTGTTGTTGTGTCCCCTTGTTGTGTCCCCTTGTTGTTGTGTCCCCTTGTTGTTGTGTCCCTTGTTGCTGTGTCCCCTTGTTGTGTCCCCTTGTTGTTGTGTCTCCTTGTTGTTGTGTCCACTTGTTGTTGTGTCCCCTTGTTGTTGTGTCCCGTTGTTGCTGTGTCCCCATGTTGTTGTGTCCCCTTGTTGTTGTGTCCCCTTGTTGTGTCCCCTTGTTGTGTCCCCTTGTTGTTGTGTCCCCTTGTTGTTGTGTCCCCTTGTTGTTGTGTCCCCTTGTTGTTCTGTCCGTTTGTTGTTGTGTCCCCTTCTTGCTGTGTCCCCTTGTTGTTGTGTCTCCTTGTTGTTGTGTCCCCTTGTTGTTGTGTCCCCTTGTTGTTGTGTCCCCTTGTTGTTGTGTCCCCTTGTTGTTGTGTCCCCTTGTTGTTGTGTCCCCTTGTTGTTGTGTCCCCTTGTTGTTGTGTCCCCTTGTTGTTGTGTCCCCTTGTTGTTGTGTCCCCTTCTTGCTGTGTCCCCTTGTTGTTGTGTTCCCTTGTTGTTGTGTCCCCTTGTTGCTGTGTCCCCTTGTTATGTCCCCTTGTTGTTGTGTCCCCTTGTTGTTGTGTCCCCTTGTTGCTGTGTCCCCTTGTTGTTGTGTCCCCTTGTTGTTGTGTTCCCTTGTTGTTGTGTCCCCTTGTTGCTGTGTCCCCTTGTTGTTGTGACCCCTTGTTGTTGTGTCCCCTTGTTGTTGTGTCCCCTTGTTGTTGTGTCCCCTTGTTGCTGTGTCCCCTTGTTGCTGTGTCCCCTTGTTGTTGTGTCCCCTTGTTGTTGTGTCCCCTTGTTGTTGTGTCCCCTTGTTGCTGTGTTCCCTTGTTGTTGTGTCCCTTGTTGCTGTGTCCCCTTGTTGTTGTGACCCCTTGTTGTTGTGTCCCCTTGTTGTTGTGTCCCCTTGTTGTTGTGTCCCCTTGTTGCTGTGTCCCCTTGTTGTTGTGTCCCCTTGTTGCTGTGTCCCCTTGTTGTTGTGTCCCCTTGTTGTTGTGTCCCCTTGTTGCTGTGTCCCCTTGTTGTTGT